GCTCGGTGGATATTCAGTCAATCGAGTCAATCGAAGATGAATTTATGAGCTTTCAACAGTTCGGCGAATCGGTGTCGAAACTGCAAGCGAGTTCTCGTTGTTTGAATCTTCGTCGTCGTTTGAATCCACTGCAAGCGAATCGTTCGCTTGGACGACAACAACAACTGCAAGCCAGTTCAAACGACCAATGCCGGTCCTGGGTAAGAGACCAACTGCCGATCGACCAACAGCCACATGAACAACAACTGCACGGAGCGATCGATCGCTCGTGAGGTTGTTGTTCTTCACGTTTGGAATGAAAAAGTGAGGAGTTTGCTTCGAAGACATAAGCCATGCATGACTCAGCAGTTAAACCGATAATATCGGGTAATAAACATGACTCAAGCATGACACACAAGCCGAGCCTTATATATGCAGTCGGAGCTCATTTTTCGATGAAATCTGTTAACTTGGATTCTGCTGTTAACTCGGCCGATCGATCGATCCATGCTGAAGCTGAGCATGGCCAAGGCTTTGCCGGTGATAGAGATAACAGTAGTAGCAGTAGAAGAAACAATAACAGAAGCAGTATCAGTAGTGGTTCCTGCATCGATCGAGTAAAGGGTGGACTCCCATAGGAGTCCATTGTTGCCAAGGGGATTGCTTACGAGCGAATCCAAGAGATCCTCATCACGATGTTGGTCGATGACAGGATAAAGAACAAGAGGGTTGCTACGAGCGAATCCAGCAAGTTGACAAGGGGATTGCTTGCGAGCGAATCCAAGGGAATTAAGTTGCATAAGGAGAAGGACTACCGTGAAGAGTGCAAGAGGAAACTCTGGAGCAATCTGCATCAAGAGTAGCCAATCCATTGACAACCTAAGGGATAGACATATAAGAATAAAATGTAGTAACATCTCATAACCTCGCATGCTACCATGCGACAATACCATTGTGTACTGATTAATCTAACGATCTAAGAGAGTAAAGTTTGTATTTCCAAATAAGTGAGCAGTTATTGATTATATTTTCTAGAATAAGCCTGCTAATTGTAAAGCTGTAAAGCTGAATTGTAAGCTGTATCCCGTCGCATGCGGGATCGAACACGTTGTAATCGTTGCGTGGGAAGTGCATAGAAAGGCAATACTTGGATTCAGTTTGTTTGTCTTTAACTACAAGCTTGCTATTACCGGTAGTGGATAGAGTAGCTATTCACGGCAGGATAATACGGGGGCAGGCTGTTTCGTTTACTAGTTTCAGCCAGCGTCATCCTTGCTTTTTTCAGTGGGTCTTTGTTTTCAAGTAGTTCGTTGAGTCTGTTCGCTGTAAAGTCGAGCCGATTCGTCGAGACGACCATACAATGATCTGACATCATGCCGCAGTGTTGTAAGTTGTTGAGCCTTGGCGGCGTCGCTGTCGATCAAAGTTTCCACTTGTTGCTGCAAATCAGCGATTTGTCGCGTCATGGCGGCGTCGCTGTCGATCAAAGTTTCCACTTGTTGCTGCAAATCAGCGATTTGTCGCGTCATGGCGGCGTCGCTGTCGATCAAAGTTTCCACTTGTTGCTGCAAATCAGTGATTTGTCGCGTCTTGGCGGCGTCGCTGTTGGTCAAATCAGTGATTTGTCGCGTCTTGGCGGCGTCGCTGTTGGTCAAAGTTTCCACTTGTTGCTTAAATGGAGCGATCTGCAGTTGGACAGCTTGCTGGACTTATTGCACCAAGAAAGAAGACAAGGTGTCATTGACCACGGCAGCAGGCTGTGCGTTACCGCCTTCGACAATCTTGATGTCTTCAACGTCTACCAGTCGGCACATGGGTGGTAGATATTCTTTCTCTTCCGATTTGAACACAACGCAACGGCGCTGTGTTGTCGTCTCCGCTGGTTGTGAGAAGCCTCTTGGTTCTTGTTGCTTTCGTCGAGATGCTCCACGGTTGTTATGGCGTGGAGCGTGGAGTGGTGAGACAACAGTCGACAGTCGGTGAAATGTAAGCCAGCTCCAGGCTGGTAGTTGTCGAGCGCTATCGTGAAGATCGTGAGACCATTGGCCTCACCTTGGCTGAACGTGCAGCCCGCTTCATAGGTGGCATGCCTCTTGCCCTACACTCTTGCACCTTCCAGACCTTGGTCCAGTCTGGCAACCGCCACATCTCCAAGTACTGTCGCCCTGACAGTGGCAAGCTCCTTTACTGATGCCATCTGCCGTGAGACTATCTTTGACCTTGCCCGCTCCGTTGCCTGTCAGTTCTGGCAGTGACAGCTGAAAGACCACTATTTCAAGCTCAATGGTGATGGCGACACTTGGAAGCTTCGGCTCGCTGCCCCCATTGAGTGCCCCTCGCACAGGTACCTGTCTACCCATTGCTCCGCATTCTCCTTCCACCTTGCCTTCTACAGTATATCGGGGCACTCTTTCTGAAGCCTCGTCATTAGTCTGGCTGTTCACGCAGTAAAGATTGCTTGGATTGGGACTGATAAAATGCAGGTTGACGGAATGCCTTTCGGTATCCCTGACGAGGCAAAGGCCGAGACACATCCTCTGAAAGTTGATCCATGGAAGGAGAACACCACCGACTCTGGGGTTTCCGGTTGTGTGGTTGATTGTTGATTTGTAGTGTGGGATATGTGAGATTGTGAGGGATTCAGAGATCCTCAACAACCTGGGAAATCAGCCTGCTTCCAATCTTGCAGATAGCTCTGCATCCTCAACTGTAGGTATTGAAATATCAAGAGGCAACAGTTGAGCTTATAGGTAGACAAGCTAACTTTAGTCACAATGTAGCAAAAACCCTCACGCTTCCTCTGCGCATGAATGCTACGTGCTTCGAGCACCCCAGTACTTACTATCGTTTCGTCCTGGAGCTGCTCGCGGTCACAACTCCCTCACTCACTATCGTGCAAGTGAAGGAGCTGCTCGATAGCTTTATTGGATTGTCATCCATCGAAGCCAACACCAACAATTATACCCACAATTTGCTCCAGAACCATCGTTCTTGACCAAACTCGGGCGCAACACACAAGATTTCGGACTCCGAAGACTCTCAAGAGGAGACTGCCAGAGAACTCAGGGCGGATCTCAGATCAGAAAGAAGAAGAAGACAAGCCGACGAAGCCAACGAAGTATTGCAAAGGACAAGGAACAGGCTTCAGAGAAGAAGACAAAGGTTAGAACAGATCCATCAAGAGCGACAACAGGTCGAACCAGCCATCATGGATGCAGCCGCAGTACGCACCTTAGTGCAAGAAGCCGTCCAAGCAGCAATTGAAGCAACAAGGATTCCTCCTCCACCTCCTCGTGTCGTCCCATTTGCAGTGACTCCAGCAGGAGCAGGTGACGCCGCATGGGACTTCACATCCAGCACCGGACTCAAGATCTTTGTGGCTTCCACTGCCCCTTTCGCAGCATCGTACGATGGAAATGAGTCAGAGCTCCGCGACTTCCTGAGAAAGATCTTACAACGTGCACAGACTTACGGCTGGACGCAGATCTTTTTCATAGCCGACGACGCAGGAGTAGTGCGTAACCTGACAAAGGAACACGGATGTCTTACCCTTGCCAACGTTCAGACAGCAGCAATCGCCAATCTGCGTGGAACTGGAAGGCCTCATCAAGCCACGGAATGCCTTCGACAGTTGATTGTTGGATCGGTGTCGGCAGCAATCGCCGACAAGCTCTACCATCGCAGAGCCAACTACACCATCAATGCAGCTGCAGCTGCAGGCGAGGGCGAGGCAATTCCGGCACCGATCATGAAGGAAGACGGAACCTGTATGCTCTACGAGCTCATCACCTTGGTATCGGTAGAGACAAGGGCGACGGTCGCAATCATCACCAAGAAACTGGCCAATCTTGATGTGATCATGAGCGAGCAAAAGTCCAACGTGGAAGGATTCAATTCGGTGGTCAACGACTTGGTCGCTGCACTCCATGCTAGAGCGGCAACGGTCCCGCCCCTTGTCACAGCTTTGTTCGATGGGTACGCTATGTGCCAGGACTCCATCTTCGTCAAGTACATTGCAAGGAAACAAGAGGAGTATGAAGATGGCTCGATCAATATGACCCCCGAAAGGCTCATGAACCTGGCACTCGAGAAGTACAAGATCCTCGTATCCAAGAAAGCTTGGATGAAGAAAACTGAGGAGGAAATGGAGATAATGGTTCTCAAGGCCGAGATCTCCCAGCTCAGGAAGACTCCATCCGCGACAGGATCTTCCCAACAGAAGAAGGCAGCGACTCCACGCCAAGGAAAGGATGACGACAAGTATGCCTGGAAGCAAGTCGCACCAAAGGCTGGGGAGCCACAAGAGAAGAAAGTCAATGGCAAGGAGTACATCTACTGCCCCCACCATCAGACCACCAAGTGGGTGCTCAAGGTCAATAACAAGGGAGTCGAGCATCGTACCGGGTGCTCCAAGCTCAAGGAATCGTCTTCCGATGCCAATGATGGAACGAATGGATCGATGGCTGCTGCCCTCGCAAATGCCACAGAAGAAATTGGTTCCAACACCCATCAGCAAGAAGAAGCTGTTGAGGAGAACACCTGATGGTGGCGGGCCAGTGGAATGATGACATGCACCCTTCTTGCAATGCTTAAAGAAATTAGTAATCAAGTTTGCGTTACTCAGACCCTGTCCTTAGCCGTAATCAACTTACTCATAGCGGTAGCCCAATGGATGGCCATCGCATCAAACACTCGCAGAGCAACTGTTGTTGCAATGCTCAAGATCGAATCGAAGCTGGATGAAGCTGCGACGGAGAACCAGCTCAGTTGGTGGCTGCTCCTCCTAGCGGTTGAAAATGCTTGCGGTCTCTGGTCATGGTCGATCACGTTCAGTAGTCACTGGGCATCTTGGTGGATATTCGCGAACGTATTCGCAACACCAGCTCAAGTGATGTGTCACATCGGAGCAAGTGCAATGGTAACAGCTATCGATGCTGCCACATTCGCGGTCGCAATCACGGAGACATGCTCCACAGGACTCACGCTTTATGCCGCGACGTCATGCCTCTTTGGATGGGCAAGACATGATCCAGGTCCCCCTGCTTACGTACCGAAGCGAATGAGAGGAACCAAGCCACTCAAGAGGTGGATCCGAACCAAACTGAAGTTGGCCATCAAAGAGGCAGGGCGAAGTGTCGCTCAGGTCGCAACCATCCTATCAGTCATGACGTGCCTGGCAGATCTTGCCATTCACGACGCAGCCGACCATAGAGAGTCACTTGACGACGACGACGATCCAGATGGACCCTACAACCAGGCGGTGAAGAAGAGCACCAGAAGGACGCCGATCACGCTGTGGGATGCAATGGTTGCGGATCTTCCGCCTGAACCGACCAAGTTTGAGTTGTTCTTGAGGTTCCTGAATGCGTTGAAGGGCGGTCTAGAGATGTCGATCCGAGAACAGAGTCCCGTGGTGGCTTATCAGCTAGTCATGATGTCATTGAACGGGTCGTTCAACCACGGCACGTCAGACCACCAGTTTGACACCGACTCTGTTCTCATTGCAATTGACAATTGCTCATCAAGATGCATCACGAACTGCATGTTGGACTTCATCGACAAGCCTACCGCAGTGAAGATATCGGTGCAAGGAATTGGTGGATCTGTGATGGCAACGTACAAGGGTACAGTGAGGTGGTCAATAGAGGACGAGCAGGGCAAAGTTCACCACTTCACCATTCCGAACACCTACTACAATGCGTCCACGCCGTACCGATTGCTGTCACCACAGCATTGGGCGGCAGTGGCAGACGACAACACGCCAAAGAGACGGGGCACTTGGTGTGCCACGTACCAAGACGCAGTAGAGCTGTTTTGGCAGCAGCGCAAATTCAAGAGGATCATTCCTCTATCCCCAACCAGCAACATCGCAATCGTGAGATCGGCACCGTCATTCACTAAGCTGCACGCTTTCTGCTCGCAAGTGCAAGAGACATGCAAGGACCAACCAATCGACGAATCAGATCTGTTCTCGATGCCAGCTGTCGAAGTCTCAGATGACGAGGATTCAGTGAGCTCGGACGAGTCAGACAACAACATGCCAGCTGCCCGATTGCATCCGGACATTCCGACAGAAGCAATGCATCAGAAGGAGTTGAGCGAGGAATTCCAGAAGAACATGACAAGAAGCTTTGTCATGGGAAAGGACTTGCGAGGCATCAGCCAGATCCCCGTGGTAGATCATGACTACACGGAGTACAAGTCTCCGAGAGCCGATATCCTGGCCTGGCACTATAGGCTGGGGCACATCTCTTTCGAGAGAATCAGAAAGCTCGCGGAAAGAGGGGCACTTCCAGCCCACTTGATCAAGGCCAGAGCTCCACAATGTGCAAGCTGCATGTTCGGCAAAGCAACAAGGAGACCATGGCGGACCAGAACCCCTCCCAACAAAATTCAAACGCCATCTGCGAACGGGTCAGGAGACGTTGTCGGTGTCGACCAGTTGATCTCCGCGACTCCAGGATTCATTGGACAGATGAGAGGTTTGTTGACTCGAAGAAGATACACGGTCAGCACTGTCTTTGTTGATCATCATAGTGGGCTGTCGTACGTGCATTTCCAGACGTCGACGTCCGCGGAACAGACCATCTTGGCAAAGAGAGCGTTCGAGCGATACGCTGCATCTTTCGGTGTCAAGGTGAAGCATTACCACGGTGACAATGGGATTTTCGACAGCAAGGCTTTCGTCCAGGAAGTGCATCGCTGTGGACAGACCATCACATATGCCGCAGTCAACGCTCATCACATGAATGGCCATGCAGAGAAGAAGATCAGAGACCTTCAGGAAGCCGCCAGGACCATGATCCTGCACGCCAAGCAGAGATGGCCCAATGCAGTCACTGCCAATCTGTGGCCATTTGCGATCAGGTATGCGAACGACATGGCAAATTCCACACCCATCCTCAAGAAAGGGGATCATGCCACTCCGTTGGAATTGTTTTCTGGGGTGGATGTGGAGCCGAAGGTGAAGAATACGCACACCTTTGGTTCACCAGTGTATGTCCTTGATGCGAGAATCCAGCAGGGGCAACGGTTGTCGAAGTGGGAGCACAAGGCGAGGATTGGAATGTACCTTGGAATCTCTCCACGGCACTCGAGAAAAGTGGCGCTAATTCTTAGCCTACAAACAGGCTTGGTCTCTCCGCAATTCCATTGCCAATTTGATGACCTCTGTGACACACTGAAGAGGAACTCAGGCAACAAGCTGCCTCCATCAAAGTGGCAGCAGAAGGCTGGTTTCGAAGAAGATAACGACGATGAGCCGTCATTGTCCAGGTATTCGGAAGAAAGAAAGGTGACAGAATCAACGGAATCGCCCGTGACTGATCCTGACCCGAATCGCGAGCCAGACGCGCTCGAACAACAACAAGATTCGGAACAGTTTCCGATGGAGGAACGAGTGCAAGATGACGATCAAACACAAAGGGGCGACGATGACGTCGAGGACGAAGAGGCGATAGCGTCTGGATACAGTCGCGACAGGCAGACCTACTCAGAAGGAAGAGTGACTAGGTCGGGAAGGACAGTTAGACGTCCGAAGGAACTACGGGAGTACGTCGTATGCGCGGCAGAAATTCCATGGGAGGTATTCCACGATGGGGAGTACCAGATCCAAGACGAGATGGAAGATCCGATTGCGTTCGCAGCATCGTCGAACCCGGACATCATGTACATTGACGCCGCATTGACTGCCGAGGACGCTGATCAGTTCAGGGTGGCAATGTTGAAGGAAGTCAAGTCACATGAGGAAATGGGAAACTGGAGGATAGTGAAGACGTCCACCATCCCAACAGGAACGAGGCTTCTACCAGCAGTGTGGGCCTTCAGGAGAAAGCGAAGGATATCCACGCAGGAAATCTACAAGTGGAAGGCAAGGCTCAACGTTCATGGAGGCAAGCAGACGAAATACGTCAACTACTGGGAGACCTACTCTCCTGTGGTCGGATGGGCGACTATCAGGGCATTTCTGATCCTGATGCTCATCAACAGCTGGAAATCCAGACAAGTGGATTTTGTCCTGGCGTTTCCCCAGGCCGACATCGAATGCGAGATGTTCATGGAGATCCCTCAAGGATTCAGTGTGGACAACACTACACGACAACCAACGCTGCAGCAAACCAGTGACAAGCGACGCTACAGAGGCGACCATTGTCTACTGCTGGAGAAGAATTTGTATGGGCAGAAACAGGCAGGTCGTGTCTGGAACAAGTACATGCATGATGGGCTAATTGCTCGCGGATTTGAGCAAAGTGCCGTGGACATGTGCGTGTATTACAGGGGGTCCGTCGTACTCATGATTTACGTCGACGATGGGATATTCATCGCTCCGACTGAGAAGGAAATCGACAACGCCTACAATTCCCTGTCACGACAGTTTACGGACAAGAGTGGGCGAGTGCACAGAGCATTCGTCATGACAAATGAAGGGAACCTATCGGATTACTTAGGCGTGAAGGCGGAGCCACTGCCCAACGGCACAATCAAGCTGTCACAGCCTCACATGATAGATCAGATCATCAGTGATCTTGGATTTGACGAGCGAACGAAAGGGCAACCGACACCAGCAGCATCTACGGTCAAACTCAACCGTGACGTGAATGGAGAAGCATTCTCGGAGGACTGGCAATACAGGAGCGTCATCGGCAAGCTCAACTTTCTGGAGAAGTCAACGAGAGTGGATCTTGCTTATGCCGTTCATCAATGTGCACGGTTCTCATCTGATCCGAAGAAGTCTCATGCTGACGCGGTCAAGAGGATTGGTCGGTACTTGGTGAAGACGAGAGGAAAGGGATACATCCTCAACCCAAAGTCATGCTCCTTTGACGTGTTTGTGGATGCTGACTTTGTGGGAAACTGGAACAGGGCGACTGCAGATGTTGACCCTGGGACGGCTAGATCAAGGACTGGATTTGTCATTATGTATGGTGGCTGCCCAGTGGTGTGGGCTTCAAAGCTCCAAAGGGAAGTTGCATTATCGACAACGGAGGCCGAATACAATGCGATGTCAGAGTCGTTGCGCGACACGATCAGTCTTATGCAGCTCATTGATGAGACGAAAGCGAAGCTAAAGTGGAGAACACACGACAAGCCACCGGTAGTACATTGCAAGGTATTTGAGGACAACAGTGGAGCTCTGGAGATGGCCGAGTTGCCAAAGATGAGGCCCAGAACCAAGCACATCTGTGTGAAGATGCACCATTTCAGGGATCATGTTCGCAATGGCAAGATAACAATACACAAAATTCCCAGTCGGTACCAATTGGCCGACATCGCTACAAAGCCTCAGCCATTGAGTCTATTTGAGTCGCAAAGAGAAAGTATTATGCAGTGGGAGGCTGAAGCCATGACGAGTGAAGAGCTATTACAACCTACTCAGCATCTGAGGGCGTGTGAGATTGTGAGGGATTCAGAGATCCTCAACAACCTGGGAAATCAGCCTGCTTCCAATCTTGCAGATAGCTCTGCATCCTCAACTGTAGGTATTGAAATATCAAGAGGCAACAGTTGAGCTTATAGGTAGACAAGCTAACTTTAGTCACAATGTAGCAAAAACCCTCAGGGATAGGACTCGGAAGGATGAGACGGGATGAGACGCTCGACGGGATGAGACGATCGTTTCCGTGCAGTGGAGCGTCGCTCTATTTCTAATGATGATGTGCTGTTGAGCTAGTAGTGTCTGTCAAATGTTTTGAAGAACTAGCAGAAGTCGTCTGGAGTGTTATCAGGTAGTTTCAGGGATTGCTCTTTGGCTTTGATGTCAGTGTGGCTTGTGAGTTTGGAGATGGTGCTGTTCTTGTTGCAAGAACCAAAGTCATTTCGAATGCGCTCTTCTGCTAACATTGCAATCCTCCTAAGTTTTTCCTTCCTCGACATTGATGATCCTTCAGGGCAAGGGGAGAGGGAAATGAATCATCTGCGTGCATTAAGACCATCCTGACAGCTCGCTTGATGGTTGCGAAGAGGTTGCGAAGGCGCTTCTTTTCAGTTGTAGGCGTATTATCAAAGCCATCGTTCCATTTATCCTTGTCCAATTCGTAACTAAGGATATAAATTTCTCGGTAAAGAATGCGTTGGTTACATCTGCCAGGGATGTAACTCTGGCGTTGAGACCATTGCTGCTGATGGAGAACCTGATAACATTGGGGACTCCCGAGATGATGTTCCCTGTTTCATCGACCATTCTATCAGGATGAAGGGAGCGCATCACATCAAATTGACTCGGATTGTGTAGACCATTATTTTGTCTCTTTAAATCTTCCGACGACTCAAGATCCCAATCCACAACACCTCTATCATTGCCAACGTCCACCCGCAGCACCATTCACTGGTGTCTCTTGGATATCACAAGTTGGGAAGGGAATAGCTAGCACCTTATAGTAATGCGCATCGTAAACCTAATTGTCAAGACATCCCTTAGCTAGCTAGTTTGATGTAAGTGGGAGATGCCCAGTGGTTGACAACAAGTGGTACTGCAACAAAAGATTGGGTAACAACAATGCATGCTCTTGATCTGTTGACACATATGTGACAAAGGAGCTATTCATATTACTCATTGGTTCCGTACAATGTACAAACCACAAAGACTTTGTCAATAGGTGTGAAGCATTATGTGTTTTCGCCGCAGAAGCGAATCATATAGCATCATCAGACTCCGGTGCCTTTCTTGCAAACCCGAAGCCACCGTTCAATGATATCTCCTCTTTCTAACATAACCTTTCAATATCAATGAGTCGGATCTTGGCAGGGGCGCGATTTGAAACCGCCGGTACAAAGCCACAGTCTTCTTGGCCTGGCACCAATTGTGCTCGCAGATTGTCAAAGAGAATGAATTCCTCTCCTCCATCGACCGACGCCGACAGGGTACCGTTCTTTTCTTCATTATTCGCTAACAGATTCAATGTCATTGTAACGCGAGATCCTTCCTTGAACTTTGGGTGCACACAATTGTAGGTATCGGTTTGATGACAAGCGGCACCATTGGATCCATAGGCCCATCCAGCATCTTGTTTTCCCAGCCATTTGTGCAGATCCAATGGTTTGGATGGCAGTGCCACTCCGAGCCATGTAAATGTGACATCCTTGACAACTTCCATAGTCCATCGATGTACTCCGGACGACATGGAAGGGTACTGCAACATGTCGACGCCACGCATTTCTCCGGCGGTCGACATTTCGGTCAAGGTACTGTTCCATACCGGTTGGCATCGTCGTCGACGAAAGACAACATTGTGCTGCTTCTTGGCCGCCAGTGCTTGTAGTTTGAATGCTTCCAGCAGCGACTTTTGCGACACTAGATTGGATTCTGACACGGTGGTGGACAAGTACTCGGGATCAATCCAATCGAGACGGACGTGGTGTTGTATCATTTCCGATGCCGCCAGGGATCGATCGTGGTGATGATTGTCATTGTCGTTGTCTTCGTGTTCGGCCCACTGCAAGACGAGTTCAAATAAATTCTGTTCATCGGCTTGAATGGTGTTGTCTTTTAATATTTCCTCCAACGACGAGGCACTGAGGAGTGAGACGCCACATTTCTCATCCAACGTTTCAATGTTGGTACTCAATTTGGACATGGCCAGGTTCTTGAGCTGTGTGGGAATGGCGGGTGCTTCTTGTTTGTACGCTTCCAATACGGCAAAGGAGAGTGATGGTTCCTTCTTGAGGCAGTGTGCCAAGTGTTGAAAGACTTTTTCGCAGAGGAGTGGTAGATTGAAGTAAATGGCTGCACCCATGAGCGACACAAGTGTTTTGACTCGTTCAAAGGGGTTGTGGTCGTCGTCATCATCATGAGAAGGTGAAGGAGTGATATTGGTGTTGTTGTTTTCCTCCTCATCCTCATCACTGCGACACAGCAAGGCACCTTTTCGCAGCAGTTCGGCCGAATCGGTGAGAATGTATTCGAGAATGGCCTGAAGGACGCATCCCTTGTAATTCAAGGGAATGACATCTTTTCGTGCTTCGGCAAATTCTCCCAAGAGCATACTCCGAAAGACCTTGCTCCGCGCGGCCAACACCAATCGATTGGCCCGTACGACTTGGCCATCATTTCCCAAGAGGGAAAGGTCTGTCAGGGCTTGATCGGTCAGGAAACTGGACAGAAACTCATGGTGGGAAATTTCTTGACAATCCGGAAGCGCGGATGTATCAAAGGCAATCTCGACGGAACGTTCAGAAATTACAGCCATCTTTCTTTTCTTTTCTAATTTCTAATTTCTGTTTGACAGTAGATGATGGAGCTTGTACGGTAGTTGCGATGCTAACCCACCCTGTCTGGTACACTACGTCTTCTTGTTTGCCTTCGGAGGATACGGATAGAGGGCAGTCTTGTAGTCAGTTGTTCCGCTTGCTTGTTGCTTGTGACTTGTCACGCTGTTCTCGTTGTTTGTTTCGCGGTCAGAGTTCTTTCGCAAATAATCTCGCTTTTTCCTGACTCTTTTAGGGTTAGAGCTTTCAACGAGAAAAGATCCAAGGGGGCGTCATTGATGGCTCGATGATGGCTGTCCCAAGCAAGACCTTGCGAACCCGCTAAATGTGGAAGATGTGGCATCACAACCTTTGGTTCGATAGAAGAAGATATCCACAATATCCTCTCGTTTTGGTTTCTCCACAACAAACAAACCAACAAACAGACAGATACTAGTAGAGACAAAATAATACACCATGATGTCTTCCAAGCTGATTGTCCGACGTGGTGCCTCACTGATGGCCCGCAACCACCAACCCAAGGCTACCACTACTACCACTACTCGAGCCATGTCGTCGGCGGTCCGTACGACGACTAGCCGACAACTTCCCTTGGTATTGGCAGGTGCCACTGCTGCTTCCACCGTGTTGGCGTTTACTTGTTTTCAGCAACAGAACCATCAAAAAACCTTTTGCAATGCAGGTCTTCCCGTCATTTCCGTGGGAGAATCCGTCAAGGAACCCGACACGGGAATCCTGTTTCCTCCCATGGTCAATGGATTTACATTCCTGGGCTGTGGGGTCCGCATAAAGTACGTCTTTGTCAAGGTCTATGCCGTGGGAGCCTACTTTCGACCGGAAAACTTTCTCGGCATGCCCAAGGACGACAAGGCCATTGAAACGGCACTCTTGGATCCCAACAATCATCGAACCATTCGGATCGTCATGAATCGAAGCATGACCATGGACAAATACAACGATGCCATTGTAGAGTCGCTCAAGCCTCGTATGAATGGACAAGATCTGGAGACGTAAGAGACTATATTATTTATTTCTTGCCATTCTTGTTGTTCTTGGCTCATTTTTATTTTTGCCCCCCTTGGTACTTTTGGCACTTTCTCCTTCTGATTGCCATGACAGACTGGACGAATTCAAAAAGCTCAATCCCAGTGGAAATCTGGAAAAGGGATCGGAATTGATCATGACCATTCGGGGAGATACACTCCTCTACAAGAATGCCATGGGAAATGTTGGAACCATCCAGTCGGCAGCCTTCACCAAAGCCATGTGTGATGTATACTTTGGAAGTAGTCCGGTCTCTCCTCCTGCCAAACAGGCGGTCATGGATGCCATCAAAAAACTCTAGGAATATCCACAGGATTGGAATATGACAAAAGATTCAAGGAGTCTTCTGGTCTGGAAAAATGGTTCTTTTTTGGTTGTTTACAAAACTTTTTGTAGATGATGATTAAGGGATCTTTAAAAGCTGCTAAGGCCACAAAGAATCTGACGAGGATAATCCACAACAATGCCTGTTTCATTTAGCGTTTGGCTGGTGACAGGAAATAATAATCTATAGGATTTGCATTTTTGGAGGTGCTGCTGGGTCTACAGGTTTCTCAATGGCACACGCGGTCAAATGAATTTGCTTATTTTTGCGCCGACTGGTGAAGCAAAGGAAACGATTGTGTACGGTAGATGAAGCCAAAAAGCTGGTGCCTTATAAACCAATCCAAAGCGGCGAAATGGGTTCTTTACAGTCAGTCATACACACCCCTCTAGTAGGATCACGAGTTGCAGAGGAATTTGTCCCCGTAGAGAAGGAGGGTGTAAGAGAGAGCACTTTATGGCAAGTTGGGTGAATACAGTACAAGGAGAGCCCAAAAGGGTGGACCTAGCAGGACGCAAGAGTTGCTTGGGAGCGGGAACCTCCTGTGCAGTCTTGGTCTGTAGCTCTTCATCAGGCTGACTCTGTAGCTGCTCTCAAGTGGGGTCAGCCGGCTCCAAAAGAGGGTGTCAGGGTATCCCGCAGGGGTTGCCAAGGAGCTACGGAGAAGCTTGCAAACAGCAAGAGTGTGCCGTACCGGTAATGCTGGGTAGCAGACAGGCACCAGGCAAACGCTCTGTATGCGGAACAGGGTTGGGAAAGCAAATCTACAGCATTGGGATGGCGTCAATAGTATTGCTTGATTTGATTCATTAATAATGCATTAGTTGTATTTAAAATGGCAACTAGACACCTCTCCACAAGTTGCTCTTGGGGTAGTCTGATAGACAGTAAACTGTCGTGCCTACAAGAGGAAACAGCACAATCAACAATTGAGTTAGCGAGCTGGCTTTGAGTATATATCAATGTCGTCAACCACGTAAAGAGTAAATCCAAAACAAGTAAGTGATCGGCACTCTCGAAAGGATGACACAATACATATAAGTAAATCCACTGTTGCATGAAACCTCAATGTGCTCCGGTGACATAAGATAATGCAACCTTGCGGTCGTCGACACACGGATGGGTTGCTAGGTATGCGTCTTGGTGTCCAACGTCAAACAAACAAACAAATCGCTGGAGCTTACATTACGTAGAAAGTCAAAGAATGATGCTTGAATGTATATGTATGGCAGGTTCTCATCGGCTTATCTTGTGATTCATCGTGACACGGAGAACGCTGTCAAGTTACGTGTGCGGTTGGTGGTTGGGTGCATGATAGGTGAGAAGAGAGATAGTATGTCAATGGGTCGTCTGTGGGAGTACGGTACTGGTAGTGTTCTTGGTGGACTTTTCAGCCGCCTTCAAGGGATAGGAAGAAGAAACAATCAACAACAGTTAGAGATTGCAGTGTTCTCAAAGGACATGTCATCACCCTCGTCAAGGGACTTCTCATAGTTTCACTAGAAGCACTTAATTATGAGTGATCGTGTGCTGTTGCATGCCTGTACATCTGACGAATGGAATCTGCGAGAACCGCCTACACCGCCAGGTATGTCAAAGATTTTCACATGCGTTTGTTTACGACGAGAACAGTACGGTAGCATATATTTCCTTACCTAACGATCTTGGCTAAGGCACTGCCAGTGATGGCAATGGCTTTGACAGTCCAAATCGTCATGCTCGTTGGCAGGAGCATTGACAATCACGGTAGCAGCGGCCAGAGATCCAATAAAGACGGTTGCGAGACGGTGCTCCTTATCAAAGGTGAAACTACCGCTCTGACGAGGCATGGCCGGAGTGGCCAAAGTACGGCGACCGATGGCGCGAGGAGCTGCTTTGCGAAGGACTTGGGCGAACATGATCAAGTTATTAAAAGAATGAGAGAGGAAGGTAACTGATACTTAGTTGTGTTGAGGTAAAAGTACGTCTTTAGCTATGATATGCGCGATGGCGAGGTCTTGGAGGAGGCAGATTGTGGAACTGTCTGCACAATCTGATGGCTCCGAAGAAAACTGGATGACACAAAAGTGATGGAAAAGATACCTTTTTCTGGTTACTACGCTTTCAGGTGCAATTGGCCAAAAGTGGTATCTTAAAAATATGATTCTTCCATGTAGAGCTCTGGTACAATTCTACTGGATCGAGAATTCAACTTCCGAATGGGAAGGGAGGTTCCTTTCCGAAGCATGTAGAACTTATGTACAATGGTACCGGTACCGCCACCAGTATCAAAAGGCTTGAATTTTCCCCAACCTTGAATTTCTGAGCTAATTTCTGAGAGGATCCCTTGAAGTTTTGAGAGGATCCCAGTCTGGCCAATTGAAGCATCAGGGTAGGAACGGTATAAGCCAGATTTGTTTGATTTGCACCCCTTTGGGAGGTTCGGTTTTGACAAAAAGGGTTCTCTTGGCGGAGAGTTCAGGTTACATGTATCTCCAAGTTTATGAAGTCGAATTAGTCGTCTGATTGCCGAATCCAAAAGATACAACGCGAAAAGCAGCCGTCATCGGATCGTTTGGCCATGGCAGTCTCTTCATTGGCGGTTTCTCATTATCAACCACGGCAACGACTGAGAAGATAACTCGCGGTAGACTGAGGATAGATAATACCTCATTATCTTAATTAGTATCCATTGACCATGTTACGACACGCAGCTACGAAATATGCCCAATGTATCCGTGCTACCGGTGGGCTGGGAGCCACGAGATCGTATGCCAAACAAGGAGGAGCTGCCAAACGAGCCCTCAGCAAGCAACAACTCCAAGGCGTAAAACCGGATCCACCGGCTGAGGTTCCTCCTACCACTCCTCCACCAGCTGCTGCTACCCCTCCTCCTGCAAATGGTGGTGGGGATAATGGCAACATGATGGCCATTGGTGTGGTGGCTCTGGCGTTGGCTGGGGGTGGTGGATATTATTACTACAATATGGAGTCGGACGCTGTACCAGCCGAATCTACTCCTGCTGCCGTGGAGGAAGAGAAAGCATCCGATGCCCCAGCTGCTGAAGAGGCAAAGACGGAAGAAGTTACGTCCATTACGGCAGAAGATGGAAGCAATCGTGTGGTCCAGATTGAAATTCCCATGGAAGAAGGTACTAGACCGGCTTCAGCAGAGACAACTCCTGCTGAGACGGCTCATCCCGAAGATGGAAACAAGTTGACATTGGAATCCATGCAACCAAAGAAGAAATCAGCAAAGATCCCCACGAGTTCTGTGGCGGACAGCGTCAAGGAATTGCAGGCATCCATTGATCTGGAAACGTCGGAGGTTACCAAGCGCGCCAATGCCGAAGTCATGCGCAGTTTTGATGAGTCCCTCTTTCAAGGACTGGATGACATGAGTGCTGCTCAATTGAAAGCCAAAATTATGCAACTAGCCACGGAAATGAAAGACCGAACTAAATGGGAGGCTCTACGATTGAAAGAATTTTTGGCCATGAAGGAAAAGGAAACAGGCGACAAGTGAGTTGGTTGCATCAAAATCTCAGTTGCATTTATTTTCTTTCTTTTTACTCACCATGCATTACCAACTTTCTCTGTTTGCAGGTACCTGGATGTTCTCCAAAAGCAACGCCTGGAATTCGAAAGCATCCTGGCACGACGATTGATGGAACAAGAGCATGAGTTGACGTTACAATCCAATTCCAAGCTGCAAGCCAAAGATGGAGCCGTCAAGGATCTCATCGATGGAGCCATTGAAAAACTGAGGGCTGAACATGAGGCAGAAAAAGAAGAATTAGTAAAGAACAAGACCCAAGAGTTTGACATCAAGTATCAACAAGAGTTTCTGGATAAGGTAGCAGAACTTCAAAAAGGGGCGATTGAGAAACTAGAACAGAAGACGCAAGCTGTAGAGTCCTTGAACAAAAAAGTACAAGATCTGGAAAGTGCGCTGGCGTCCAGTGAAAACTATCATGAAGGTTCTATGCAGGCTCACAAGCTAAGTGCGGCTGCTTTGGCATTGGCCGAAAAGATGGAGTCCAACCAGGGTGCTGGAATCGAGTTGGGAGCTCTAAAGGTACGTTGCGTTTTGACAGGTGTCAAGGAGGTTGTGAGAGTGTTTGGTGCTGACCACAAATCAATTCGTCATCACCAACAAAAGGCTGTGGCTGGACAAGACAACGTGATTGCGGCTGCCTTGTCATCGATTCCGTCGTCCCTGGCGGAGGGAGTTCCAACATTGCCCGAGTTGCAGGCACGGTTTGATAAAGTAGCTAGCAAGACTCGACAAGCTGCACTTGTGCCAGCTGGGCAGTCTGGTCTGGAAGGACAGTTGGCGGGTATGGTGTTCGCCACTCTGAAATTCCCACCCAAACCTGATGACCCTTCTCCCGAGGACGATAAGGATGCAGCGGAGTATGTGCTTGTCCGTGCTCGTCAACATGTACAACTTGGTGAGTTGGAAAAGGCCGTTGATCAATTGAGTAAGCTGAAGGGACAGGCCGCCTTCACTGTTCAGGGATGGAAACAAGATGCTGCGGATAGAGTTGCGGTTGAGCAGGCACTGAAAGTCATCAAAATGGAATGTGCTCTTTTGAACGAAAGCATGTCCAAAGCTCCATAAATCTTCAATTCTTTAGAACTATTTGCTTCAGCTCAGACGTCTGAGTGCCTACACTAGCATGCTCCGGTGAGATGGTTTGGAAAAAGCTGGCTGAAAGTAAAACAACGTTTTTTGCTACTTGTACAGGTACCGTATTTGGGTTGCTCAGTTCAGGTATCGTTAGTTAGTGCAGCAATGGTCACGATGAGGCCATGCTCGAGGAGGAAGGGTGAAGAAAAGAATCGAATCGAGTTGCCAGCCACATATATGTACAGTATATATTATGATGTGTGCTTCTGTCATGGAAGTGCTTACGGTTTGTTGGAGAAGAAATAATCGTCGAGATAGCAACTCGGTGCATGCTAAGCATCAGCCCCGGACCACAATCATGACAGGGCGCTATGCTTTCGTTTGCTTCCACTCTTTGTGTTGGGCTCAGAGCTGGTGGTCTCAGAGCTACTGGTTTGATTACATGTACTCCATTTGGCTGGGTTTTCACGAAGGAGCCCATACACAATGTTGGAGATATCTTCAGGTGTGGCAGGGTTGTGGGTCTCAACCACATCAAAGACATTTTTGGCCTCCTCCACTTCCACCAGCAGATCTACAAATTCCAAAATCGTGGTTTCTGGATCACCTGCTTCCTTGCGCCCAAGCCAATTGAGGGCTGTGTAGAAGGGCAGCAGGTGTTGGCTAGGATGGAGAGCAGTGCGAAGATTGCCTTCTGGATCCTCATCAGTGGAACCATCACCAAAGCTGGCCGATGCCAGTGTTTGATTGGAGTTTTGGAGAACAACTGCTAGAATATCCTGGTATCTCTTGAACCTGTCTGGTTGAACATCATCCTGTCGATAGTGTAACCCTTTCAGGGTTTGGTCATTCTCCAATGCACTAAGGATGGGATCCAGTCCTTTTCCCGTTGTGTCGCTTGTTGCTCGAATAGTCAAGGACTCCAACTGTGAGTTACTGCACAGGAAATGGCCAAGTACTGGGGTTGCTTTAGAAGCAGCAATATCAGAGTCAACCCATACATTCAAATGTTTCAGAGATGGCATTTGAATTAGGCAACATTGCAGGAACTCAAGAGCGAGAGGATCATTTTGTTCCACCGATATCTGCACTCTCCATATCTTGCACTTTGACAGTGCTTGCTTGAACGAGTCTGAGTAAAAGATGTTTGGTTTTCCCTCTTGGTCTTGTGAGGGCTCTGGGAAGCTCACACACAACTCGCGGAGGCTCTGGTTGGAGAGGACTTTGCGAACAAACTCCAAAAATGAATCCAATTCCCATTTGCCACACCAGTTAGTAATAATTTGCAGGTTGGCGCTGTCCAGCAGCGGCTCCATTCCCATGAGAGCTTCTTCATCAAATGCTGCCCGCTTTGTGCTGAAATTTTGATGAACAACCCATGGGAAAACTTTATCATCAACCAAGTCAGGACGCATTGTAGCAAGAAACCCAACCACTCCTTGCTTGGCTCCACATTTCAGGACATTCCAAAAGAGTTTTGGGGTCAAGGCTTCTGGAAAAAATCCGTAAATAGTCTTGACAGTTTCCAAATCTGCCTTGGCCATCAACGCCATTTCCAATAGATGATGCTTGGAAACAGTCCAGTTGGTGGTTGGCACGGGGTTATCAAGTGCAGCAAACAGAGCTGAGTGGTCCATAGTATCTCTATCATCAACAGGAGAAGCAAAGTGGATGCCTTCACGTTCGATGGAGCTTCGAGCATTGGAATTTAAAGCTGGTTAAGCTGTTTGGGATCTTCCAAGGGAGGTGCAACAAGCGCCGAACCTTAACCCTTGTTGGCGTCATTGGTTTTGCAAAAGGAGGACTTATGCATACATGTTGTATTCGGCTTTTTTTCAGCGTTCGTCTCCTGTTTCCTCAGTTTGCTCGCTACTTGTGCAATCCAGCCATTGTAGCCAGCTACGGTACCGTCGGCAGAGAGTTACATGGTCCGTGACAGTGGCAACAGTACCCAACACACTCAGGTTCCGCTTTACTGACTACACTCCGTTTACCGGTACCTTGCATTGGATCCTTATGACGAATACATGCACAACCGAACATTGTCAATCCAGCCATCGTAGCGAGCTACCGTAGAGTTCATCGATCAGTGACAGTGGCAACCGTACTGAACACACCCATGTTCGACTTTGCTTGCTGCACTCGGTTACCTCGCATTGGATCCTTATGATGAATACACGCACAACCAAATATGGTCAATCCAGCCATCGTAGCTAGCTGCCGTATAGTTACATCGGCGACAGTGTCAACAGTACCGAACACACTCAGGTTCTGCTTTGCTGGCTACACTCCGTTGCCGATGTCTTGCATTGGATCCTTATGACGAATACATGCACAACCGAACATTGTCAATCCAGCCATCGTAGCCAGCTACCGTAGAGTTCATCGATCAGTGACAGTGGCAACCGTACCGAACACACTCATGTTCGACTTTGCTCACTGCACTCGGTTACCTCGCATTGGATCCTTATGATGAATACACGCACAACCGAATATTGTCAATCCAGCCATCGTAGCTAGCTGCCGTATAGTTACATCGGCGACAGTGTCAACAGTACCGAACACACTCAGGTTCCGCTTTGCTGGCTACACTCCGTTGCCGATATCTTGCATTGGATCCTTATGACGAATACATGCACAACCAAACATTATGAATCCAGCCATTGTAGCCGGCTGCGGTATAGCTACATCGACGACAGTGGCAACAGTACCGAAAGTTTGGCTTTGCTCGCTACGGTTACCGGTACCTCGCATTGGATCCTTATGACGAATGCAATACACGGCTCTTAGCCTTATTCGCGACTCGAGCCTAGATAGGGTTTGAGTTCGACTCATGACGTAGTCCTTCGCGAATAGTCATTGAGACAGGGTTCTCATGACTGCTAGTCATACTAGGTTGTCGATGAAACATCGCTCTAGATATTCCGCCAGCGTGGAAAGCTTCCACGCTACTAGACAGCTACTAGCTGAAGTTTCCACGTGTTCCGGAAATGGACCGTGGAGTACGTAGAGTTATTATCATAATCTACGATATCACACTTCGAGGCCTCCCGCGGGAGACCAACTTCAATGAGCTTCACAACGATCTCTCTCATGGATTAGTTTTCGTAGCTTTCTAATCTCTCTCATAACTTTCATTCTCTCAAACTCAAACACTCGAAAGATCTTTACACTAGCTTTTAGCGTAGTGCATTTTGTTAACAAACACAATAGCTTTCAGCTACCCTCAACCTATTCCTTCACCATGAAGATTGCTCAAGGAAAGCATGCGTTCAC